TCTCTCTCTCTCTCTCTCTCTCTCTCTCTCTCTCTCTCTCTCTCTCTTATTGTTAATCGATGTGCTAGACAACTAGACAATAATGCACTTATGCATTTTGACGATGTTTCCTTGGCGCAACTGAAGAGTCTACGCGCACTTCGACTCGAAGGAAATATGCTACAACGTGTGCCAACCGAAACATTGACCGGCTTACCAACACTAGAAATATTGTGAGTTTATCTTTCCCAGCTTGTTTGAATTGCATTTTTCTCGTTACAATTCAAAATTCAATGGCATTTCTTCTTTTCCCTTGTGAAATTCTGTGTTTTCTGTGTTTCGGCTTGTGTTACGAGGGCTCGATTGGGACATGAGCTCTCGACAAAAATGTAATTACGGTGAAAATTGATACTAAAATCTAATTTTTCTTAACTTTCATGAGATTTGGTAAGAAAAGGGTTTCAAATTGGCATGAAATTGACAAGAAATGGCATCAAATTGACAATGGAGACCAAATTTGGGTGAAAAATAATTAAAAATTAAAACTTTTGGAGATCGTTGTACCTCTGTTTTAAAATTAGGGACAGAGAAAATGTCAAAATTTGCATTAAATTGGCTATGGATGATTCAAAGGATGAATTTTATCCAGTTTTTTACCTTTCCTCAAACATTATTTGTTGAGAACCGCATTTTCATTTTGAGTTGAAAACCCATATCATAACCAACTACTTTCTCTATGTGTGTTTTCCAATCAATGTTGTATTCAATTGGTAACTAACAAAGATCCATGGTATGCCCTTTTTCTTATCCTTTCCTATGATTATGTATTGATCCACTAACAAAAGAAGCACACAATATACAATTGATTGTATCGAGTGTGAAACTGGTGAACAAAAGGAGAAACGGTACAAAAAACAAATCCCGGCTGCATGCATAATTTTATATTCATTGGCAAAAAAAAACGAAGTGTTTGGAGCGACAAAAAAGTCTGTCTCTCCAGAATATAAATTTGTTTCATCCATATTTTCCTTTCTCTTTTGTTCCATTTTTTCTCGTTGTGTCTATTTGGATTGGTCATGCTATGAAATGAAAAGTGTTTGTAATATTTCCAATGGCTAACATTGCGGTGTTTTATCGAATCACACGCATTCGAGCTATTTAAACCGATTTGTTTTCATTTTGAACATGCTTTTTATCTTCCTTCATCCAATATCACACAGAAATTTAGGAGGCAATCATCTACTTAATATAAACGTTGGAGATTTTCCAAAATTGGACAACTTGCGATATCTGTAAGTATTTTTTCTACTTTCATTTCGAAGTTTTGGCAAAAGTTGGCCATTTCGCCCGTTTGATCAAACGACTCATTTCATCTGCAATCATATCAGTGCCAGTGCTGCAAAATACTAAACAAGTTATTATCTCTCTTTTTTCTCTCGAAACAATTCGACGCAACGCTCGAAACTCATTTCACATTCAAGCACGCTGAAAAGAAATCGTCTAACTAATGTTACAGCTGATGCGATAAGTAATTTATCCAACTTAAGAATTCTGTAAGTATCCACCATTGGATGGTTTATCGAAAATATTCTCACTTGGATATTGAATAGAATGCCAATTTCATTTATTTTTGTTCCTTTTGTGGAACTAAGCTTTTTTTCTTTTTGCTTTTTTAAACTGAACTTTTCGATTTCAAACCCATTCTCTTTCTTTTTTTCATCATTTTTTTCTCTTTCTCTTGCATTTTCCGCTTCCATACAATTTTTCTCTCTTTACTACATTTCCTACTCAATTTTTTATTTCCGGTGACGTGAATTGTGCTTCTGATTTCCATTTTAGCGACCTGGACGATAATTTACTTACGGCGATACCGTACAAATTGGGGAAATTGTCAAATCTTCAGGAATTGTAAGCCACTTAAATTGATCCATCTCGAATATATTTCGGTATATAATACGATTTATTCCAAAACCTACGCAGATTTTTGTCGGGAAATCGAATAAATACCATACTCAAAGATGATCTTCCAAGAAATCTAATCACATTGGAGTTGCGGGGCAATCCACTGGGTGATGTAAAATTTGATGCGTTCCAAAGCATGCCAAGACTGAGGAAACTGTAAGTGTATTTTTGATTGAAGTGTTAGCCATGGTATTGTGTATATATGTGCATGGTCCAATGTGCATATAAAGAAGAAACAAATCAATGCATCAAAATTCTTCTTCATTTTTATGACGAAGAAAAATCAAATCGCATTTCTTTCAAATCTCTTTCTTTTTTCGAATCAATAAAAACGAGAATGAAATCAATTCGAATCAAATTAAACGCTTGAGTAGTTAAGTAGCTGTATCCATACACTGTATTTTGCATTTGAGCAATGTAGTCCGCTTTGTATCACTTCGTGATGAATGAATGTGCAGGCATGTATACCATATACCATACTTATGCGAGGTATTTGCTTTTTTCCTCGTTCAAGGGTTTTATCGGATGCCAAAAGTTTAAGGGAGCTACCATCATTCGACGGGTGTTCATCACTCGAAATTCTGCGATTGGATCGAGCCAGCGTTTCCGCGATACCAAATACTCTTTGCCGTAATTCGTCACGCTTAAGAAGCTTGTAAGTTCATTCAAGGCATTCTGTGCATTGTTTTCAATTTTTTTTATCAGCTTCATTGCATATATCAACTTCAATCGCTGTTCTTTTTTGGAGTTTTTCGATTGCTCTCATTTTTCCTATCTCTTTTACATTCTCAAAACTTTTCTGGTATTTCTTCCGATTGCTTTCACTATTTTTAACTCTTTGAATATATATCCAACTATTTCCTTGTTCTTATTGCTTCTTTCTCCTTTATTTCTATCATTTATTTGTCTTTTCCATTTTCGCTTTCACTTCTACGCTCTTTTCCACTTTCATCCTCTTGTTTTCTTTCATTTTCTTACTTTTTCTCCTCTTTTCTATCTATTTTCACTCTTTTTCCTCTTTTTCTCTCCATTTCTCTTTCTCCCAATCACTTTCTATTGCTCTCTATGTCGATTTTCCTTTCTCTTTTCTCCTTTCCCTATTTCCTTCCTCTACTTTCCCGCTTTTGTCGCTTTTCTCCTTTTTCCTTTCTCTCTATTCGAATGCATTTCTACAATAATACTTCCTTATACACTTCCCGCCGTCCGACTCGCCAGAGAATTGAAATTGAATAAGCTGAGGAATGTTCCCGATTTGTCACACTGCAAAGATTTGCGAATATTGTAAGTAAATCGTATGCTTCAGTTCAACATTCGATTCCCTTTGAATGGGAGCACTTTACGTCATCCACCTACAACTGCAAGCTCACTATAACAATTGCATTCGTTTTGTTTTCTAGAGATCTATCGGGTAATCGAATCAGTTCGGTACACGAAACACCGTTCAGAGGTTTGGGTCAATTGCATGATTTGCTGTTGTCGTACAATGAAATCGAAACAATTCCACGAGATGCATTTGACGGTGCGCCAAGGCTGCAATTACTGTAAGCTTATACAAAACCAATTTTATAAACTGATTTTCGTTCACCCAAATGAATCGATTACTTAAGTTTCTGCGCAATTTTCTCTCTTATTTTGTTCTCATTGCAGAGATTTAGAGGGGAATAAAATTTCTTTTATTCATGAAGATGCATTCACTGTATTCGAACAACTTGAAGATTTGTAAGCATTACATACAATTACTTACCTTTAATGCAATGTTTTCTTTCTACGCTCACTTTAGTAATGAAGTACTGAGTGATACCTTATTTTTCTACTGAAGAATTTTTTTTATTTTTTTCTACAAGAGTATTTTTTGATAATAATGAAACGATAAAATCATTTTTGATCATAGAAACCATGAAATAAATCGCTTTTCATATCAAAATCTTCGTATTTATAGGAATTTGGGTAATAATATCTTTCCAACGCTGCCAAAGAATGGGCTGCAAAGTGTGCGCCACTTGAAAACATTCAATAATCCAAAACTACGGGAATTTCCACCGCCAGAAACGTTTCCACGCATTCAGGTGAGGTTTTTTTTTCACTCATCATTTCAATTGGCAATGTGTGAGTGTTCAACAAAACACATTCGTGATGGAGAAAACAAATGTGGCATGCGGTAGTTTTTAGCTCAAACCATAAAGGTGACATGTGATGATTGTGACAGGAAATGAATGTGCTGCGATTTCATTTTTAATTAAAACATTCCGCAGTTTTTCCTCTATCACTTTTGTTTTTTTCCCCATTAAACTTTGAATTCCTTGTTTCAATGGAACAGTTTCATGGTCTTATTTTCCATTAAACATGTTTGATTCGGTCTTGTTTTGCCTCTGACAGACGCTGGTGCTATCATACGCGTATCATTGCTGTGCTTTTCTTCCTCTTGTCACCATGTCAACCACACCAAAAACACATCCAATACAGGAGACCATTCTCTTTCCAACTGACAGCAAATTCGATATGAGCCTGTGGAATAGCAGCCAAACGGACATCTGGCCACAATTGCGTAAGTTTTTTTTTATTTCACATCATATGAATCATATTTCACAGTCGTAGTTTCTTGTTCCATTTGATTTGAGACATCTTATTACTCACACAAATAAGTTAATTTGAATTAGGACCTCAAACATAGCGGTCTCGTGAGTCATATTCATTCTAAATTCGATTAATGTTTCAGAGTAGTATAAAAATGCCGATTCTAAAACAGCCGATTCTAAAACAATGGAATCGGCTGTTTTAGTATCGGCGTATGTGTTATTGCCTATGTTCCAGAATCGGCGATGTGTATTATTATGACAGTATTTATGTGTTCGTTTTCATGCGCGTGTCATTTTCAGTATGTTCTGTGTGTGTGCAGCAACAGACGAACGAAAAAAGAACGAGGGGGGAGACAGAGAAATGCATCGATGCACACAGAACCGAGCGCATCTTTTCTCACATCTCCCTTTCACTCGCGCTCGTTCGCTCGTTCGCTTATATCAATATATAGGGAGGAGAGAGAGAGAGAAACGTGCGCTCGCATATTTTATGCATGTTACATTTCTCTCTCTCCCCTCGTTCTTCTAGAACATACTGAAAATGACAAGCTTACGAAAACGAACACAAAAATACGGGCATAAGAATACACATCGACGATTCTGGAACAGCCGATTCCATTGTTTTAGAATCGGCACTGATGTATTTTTGTCTATGTTTTGGAATCGGCATTTTTATACTACTTTTCAGTAAAAAAAATTGTTTCACCAATATTGACTGTATGCAAGTCAATATCATCGTTCGAAATCCTCATTCATGGTCAATGATTTGCCATTGCAACAATCAGTCAATGACAGATAGCTGAGGATATATGCTGAGTATAGAAACTCAGCAAGCTGAGATTGGGATATTTTGACTTTGTGACGTGCTATTCAAATAAATTTATGATGGAGGGGAATTTGGGACACATTTTCCATTACACTCCATCAACACTCAACCAAAATTCCACATAAATTTGCACGAATAGCAAGTCACAAAATCCAAACGTCCCAATCTCAGCTTTCTGAGTTCCTATGCTCAGCATATATCCTCAGCTATCTGTCATTGACTGGCAACAATATTGATGCATCATATTATTAGTTTGAAATTAAATCCACTCGAAATTCGATCCAAATCTACTCAAATCCACTTGAAATTTGTACCAAATGCAGAAATGCACTTTGGTAAATTGAGAAATCATCCAAATAAATGTTCAATTTGATTTAATGCTTTGTCATCTTCAAACTTCACCACAGATAACTTGAGCCAAAAGTTTGGTAGTCAAATTAATGAACTGTGGGACTCGTTTGGGCAAGACTTTACGTATCCTGGAAATTTGCCAGCTTATGCTGAAGAATACTTCGAAGAAGAAACGTCACCAACAAAAGCATTGAATGGGGATATAATAGCTAGCTCCGTGCAATGCTTGCCGCTACCAGGTAAAAAAAAATGAGATAAATTCAATTGTTCATGGTGTTCTTATGCAAGTTTTTGTATTAATTTCGTTTCGAAAAGAATATTTTCGTGTATTGCACTATACGGAAGATATTCCATCGTAATTTTTTGTGTTTTTCTTATTTTGTCCATTTTTTTCATTTTCTTTGTTTTTTCATTCTTTGCAATTGTTTGTTGTTGTTGTCATTTACCTTTTGTTTTGAAACCTCTTAGGTAATTACCTCTTTTCGTCGTTCCTTTTGCAATCTTTTTTTACCAATATTTTTCACTACCATTCACTCGTGCCTCAAACTCCTTCACTAATAATTATTCCATTTTCCATTTACCCAACTCAAAATCAAGGACCATTTTTGCCATGCCAAGATCTATTCGACTGGTGGACACTGCGGTGCGGTGTTTGGATTGTATTCCTGTTGGCGATGCTGGGCAATGGCACCGTTGTATTCGTATTGATATTTTCACGTTCGAAAATGGATGTGCCACGATTTTTGGTATGCAATTTAGCAGCGGCCGATTTTTTCATGGGCATTTACTTGGGACTATTGGCTGTGGTGGATGCATCAACACTGGGCGAATTTCGAATGTACGCGATTCCATGGCAAATGAGTATCGGATGCCAAATTGCTGGCTTTTTAGCCGTACTATCATCCGAATTGTCCGTATATACGTTGGCTGTGATTACATTGGAACGAAATTATGCGATTACACATGCGATGCACCTGAACAAACGGCTATCACTCCGGCATGCCGGCTACATCATGGTATTCGGTTGGATGTTTTCATTTACAATGGCTACATTGCCATTGATTGGTGTATCTGATTATCGTAAATTTGCCGTTTGTTTACCATTCGAAACGACTACTGGCCCAGCCAGTTTGGCATACGTAATCTTCTTGATGTTCATCAACGGTGTTGCATTCGTAATTTTGATGGGTTGCTACTTAAAAATGTACTGTGCCATTCGTGGTTCACAAGCATGGAATTCGAATGATTCGCGTATCGCTAAGAGAATGGCACTGTTAGTGTTTACCGACTTTTTATGCTGGTCACCCATTGCATTTCTATCGCTGACCGCCGTATTTGGAGTGCATTTAATCAATCTCAATCAAGCCAAAGTGTTTACAGTCTTTGTGCTGCCGTTGAACTCATGCTGTAATCCATTCCTTTATGCAATTATGACGAAACAATTCAAAAAAGATTGCGTGATGATTTGCAAATCGATTGAAGAATCGCGTGTGACTCGTGGCATTGGCCGTTGTAGACACAGTTCGAATTTCAGTAATCGACAAACGCCGGTCAATACAAATTCACTCGGTGAACGGTCATCAAAAGATATGCCACCATTGACTCCAGGACAAATTTGTGCTTGTTCGAAACTGCTTCAACAAGATGTCGGGCGAGATGAACCACCGCCAAAGCTTTGGACTCGAGTTTGGAGACGAATCACTTGCACTGAACCGCAAAAGAGATCGGAAATTCGACGAGACATTCGATGCGATCAATATGCGTATAAAATTGCGGAAATTCAACAGAAACCATTCAAACGGGCCAGTTCCATGTCAAGTGATAATTTCAGTTCATCACGGTCGGATTCATGGCGCCATGGACCGCCACATCATTGCTCAATTCCATTACGAATTTTAGATACACATCGCAGACATTCCACATGGTTAGTTTCAAGGAAAACATCACAAGACTCGAATTTATCCAGCTCAAGAAATGACTCATCGGCTTCGGCCACAACCGCCAGCACTTCCACGTTTCGGTTGTCACGTTCGAGTGCGGCTAGTTCGACGCCGACACCGTCGATTTCAGGTAAATATGGAATGAATTTATGAATAAAACAAATTGAACGAATTCAAAATGATTTGAGTGAAATTCAAAAAAAAAAAAAAAAATCCGAAATTCAATTAAACTCGATAAATCCAAATGATTTTTATTCCTTTTCAACGCATAAACAAAACTTCATCACAGAAACTTACAATTAAGAATTAATTCACCTTCCATAAACAGGCAAATCGTCAATCGGATGTACAAAACCGCGACTCATGCGTCAACAAGCGGTGCAGGAAGAAGTGACCGACCCATCGTGTTCGTCGCCAAAACTCAACGTACGCTTTCTGCCAACCATACCATCGGTAGTCGATACCAGCGTTATCACAGACGAAGAATCATGCAACGAGCCAAGCACTGCCAGTTCAGCAAATAATAACAATGTGGGCTCCACATTCTATACCATTCTACAAAGTGGTAACACACTCACAACGCTCTCTAGTCCAAAATCAAATAAATTGGATAAACCGCCGTAGGCAAATAAAATCTAAGGTCGTCGAACATGTATTAACAAATCTAATATTTTTTATGTTATCCCAAAGCACCCAGAATTATTATTGTAAGTAAGTAGATGAAATGGAGGGCGATACATCCGTATTTTGGTAGTGTTTTTGTGTTGCTTTTTATAAAAGAAAACCCAATTCGTGTGGTTTGTGCTTTAACACTTTGGTTACATAATGCATATATGTTGGATATAATTCGATAATCGACATTTCGATTGAAGTCTTCACTTCGGTTGCAATCTGATTTGGAGAATTTCGTCTAAATACGCAAAATCAATAGAATATATTAGCTCAAGAATAAGCCATTCCGGTTGAGCCATGTTCGATTCCGGTTGAGCCATATGTTGGATGCTTCCAACACAAACATTTCGATCAACTCAACGAATTTTCGGTATGATTCATTCGTGTTTTAAACGTCATTCCAAGTGAATGAAGGATTTTCATTGCAGTCACGTGCTGATTTTGTCGGTTGAGTTGCGATTCAAAAAAAAAATTATGTTCCGCATGACATAATGATAAATAAGGGTCAGATCAGTTCACAAAATTCACCCTAAACCAACTCCGTTCGAGTTTGCACGTGACCTTGAGGATGCCATAAATTTGAAAGTTTTTTTTTTCTAATTAAAAAAAATTTCATGGTTGGATTTTTGCGCGCGTCACTCTATGTATTTGCAAAGGGATTCTTATTTATTTTCCCTGTCTTCAACTTTGATACTGATTTCGGTTCCTCACCGTGCGCAAATAACACCTGTAAAAAAGCATGAAGCATAAAGCCGGACGAAAAGTTCGACTCGCTTCCGTGTGAAAGCTAATGAAATACGATTTTCTGAATCATGCTACGTTACATGCCTCACCACATGGAAAAACACACACCCATAGTTCACAGGCAATTGGTCGACCGAAGTGGATAATAAGCAGGCAATCAAATACCGTTAATAATTAATTGTTTGTATTCGTATGCCATACGCGTTCGTCCGATCAAAGCAAATAGAGGCGTGTGAAGCGTTCGAAAGTGTTCGACGGCCAACACGACACGTGTGATTTATTCAATTGAATATTCATGACTGCAAACAGCGCTATCACAAAAACAACCAACTTATGACGCATGAAGCAACATTTGCATTTTTTTTTTATTGAGCTCAACAGGTTGTTCCCTAGCAACTTCGGCAAAATTTCAACTCTTATTTCCGTGAATTGGATACCAATGAACCGTTTATTAAATTCTTCCGAAAAAAAAATGGGAAACTCGGACAACCTTCTCGAATATGTTTCTTCTGGAATTTTTCTTAAAATAAAATACATTTTGTTTGGACGCTTCGGGCAAAGTATCGGGATTTGAATTTCAATATCCTGCTGTATTTTAAATTTGTATGCTTTTCGGTTTGCAATTCGACGTGGACTTAGATTTCATGGAATCTAAACAGTAAACAACTTGACTTATTTAGCCATGGAACATTTGCAAATATGTGTTTATTTTCCGAATTTTTTTTTGCATATAACATTAATTTGGTATTTCCAATTAAAATTATTATCGACTTTGACCTAGAGTCATGTTGACACACATTTCCCAATGTTAGAATCTAACATTGTTAGATTCACTCATTTCTATTCATTTCCATTTGATCGCACATCATAAAATATTAAATTCGTATATATATTGTTTTTCGAGACGAATTCTTTGGAGAACCCTCACTTCTCGTCCTCTTTCTGCTCCTCTCTATCTACCGTATCTTTTTCATAATCCGCCTCCTTCTCCTTCTTTTCCTCCTCCACCACCACCTTTTCTCTTCTTCCTCCTCTTCCTAGCATCGAATTCATCCTTCTCCCTCTCTCTGCCTCCAAAATGCCGTCCGTTCAATTTCTTATGGCATATGAATTATTATCGAAATGGTTGCGCTCTAGGTGAACATATGAACATTTTACAAGTAAAATAGAAAAAGCATAAATAAATCTTAACAAGAAGTGAACAAATTGTATGGTCGAATTCAAAAGGCGAAAAAAATCCGACACAGGGAAATCGGAATGGTTTTATTGTCATGGTAAAACCAATCGTCCAAAAACATTTTCATGGAGAAATTCATTGGAAAAGTTGTTAGGCTCACATTTCCGCTTACATCGATAAAATTCACATCAGACCGACAAACACGGATGCCATGGGCCTTATACTAATAAATATCTATGTGTAAGTCATTTGTATTGACAACTAATCCTCATTTATTATCAGTACATATATTAATGTCTTGTTCAAAGAATATAAAACAAATGAATAAAATAGATTATTTAAGTCATTTAAATGTGATATTGCTGAAAATGGTCCATGTAAAATGAAATTTATTGATGCAAAATGAGACCATTTGATGGTTCATATTTAAAAAAACAAAATGAAATTGATGAAAAAAATACAGTATTTGTGACATCCAAAGTGACGTGAAGCTCAATGATTACTTTTGACATTCGGCTATTTTTACGGAATCTATTGTATACTCGGTAAATTAACACTGTTCATGCATATTTTGAAATGAGACAACATTTAATCTTAGTTAAGCCATACAGTTTTGATATTGTCCAAGTGAATAGCAATCACTTTTTCTCAGTGTAACTATAAATAATGATGTAAATTATTATGTACGTGTTCTTAAGTACTCAAATTGATTGTGACAGAAAAATGGTGGGATTCAAATGTATTATGGATTTTCAGTCGACGCAAGATTTTTTTCCCAATAATGGTAATGGTCAAATGGATTTTTTTTTTCGTTCGTTCGGGGTTCTTTCGATTTTCTGTGCCTCTTCTTCATTACTTGGGAATTGGTACTTGGTTTTTTGGAACTATTTTCCAAATTGGGAGTTTTTCCAGCAGTGCTGCAACGCAACACATTATACGAATACATTCGACAATATCTCTCTATTGAGAGACAAAACCACACATAGAAAAGAGAATCAGTAGACCCTGCAAATTCTATTGGTGAAACATCAAACTACCAATAGACTGTTTCAAATGTATTGGTAATTTTAGTACAAATGCGGAATTTCGTTTACTAATAATACTACGTAAGTGACTTGCGACTTGCGTTGTGCCGTTTGTACTGAATTTACCAATACATTTGAAACAATCTATTGGTAGTTTGACGTTTCACCAATGGAATTCGCAGGGTCTAATAATTCTCTTTTCTATGTGCAAGTTTTACTGAATGACTTCAAACTGAGTCGAAAGAACCTGAACGAACTTAAAACTGAACTGCAAGTAATAAATGAAAAAGTCATCCAAGAGATCACATTCCATTCGAAAACTAAGACCTTGAACAAATTAATATATGTTAAAAACCGAACGTTGACTGTATTTCAGTTACCATGGCTGCATCTCGGATGAGCTGCAATATCTCATTAAAACTTATTGCGTAGGCAGCAAAAAAAAAATCCAAATGAAAACTTGGGAAATATGTGTCAAATTCCAGTGAATTAATTGAATGCATGTATGTGAGTCACATACTATGTGAACGTTTGATGGATCTTTATATAGTTGGTTGAATTTCGAATGCTGGACAAAATTCCATGAAAACCACATCGGATTCATTCAAGTTTGAAATATTTAATAATAATTTAAAGATGAACTTTTTTGCAGTGTGGTAATAAAAACAAGGTTTCGAATTGAGGTTTCGACACAGAAAAATTTACTCAATAAAATTAATATGTGAAGAATTTAAACAAAATTCGTCTTCTTTTTGACATTTATTTGTGATGTGTTTCGATTTGATCGAAATGGGACTTGCATTCGTTGGAATTTTCACATACATTTCTCAAATAGGATCTACTGGATTGGAATAGTGTGAAAAAACGATGATTTTCTTATATAAACATGCCTCAAGCACAAGACTTCATAACATAAGACATTCTATCTTCCATCTAGCAGAGCTGTTATTATTGATGACATCAGTAAACAGAAAATGTTGATGACGAGAAAAACCAATTTCTATCCATCTACAACATCTACAATAAACTGTCAGGACCGACTGATTTTTTTCATTACCCATGCAATAAATATCCAAACAAGTCTCATTTTCTGAAGATTTTTCATTAATTTATGGATTCAAAGAGCAATTTTATCTAAAGATAGGTATATTGTAAACAAACATTTACAAGGTAAAGTTATTATCAATAATTGGAACATAGTGGCCCAAAAAAAAAAAATCTGTAAATTTTCCTTCCATAAAACAAAGCACTCCCATTTTTTTTAGGAATAATGTCGCTGAGCCCCCCATAGCAAGTCAGCTCCACTTTATATATTGCCGCTCTTTTAAGAAAATAAAAAGAATTACATTGGAACTTTTCCGTAACGTTGGCCTGCGTTGTCTGTAGGTACTTTTGGTTATTTTTTGTGAATTTTCTTGAAATAAAGGCAGCGAAAATATAATAATAAAAATAAAGTGAAAAATCGGTCAATTTAACTAAAACTTCGACAATTCTGTATGAGAGGTACCCGTAAACCGATTCCTATTGGCTTCAAACTTTCTGAGGTTTCATTTTTTGGAGAAAAAATAAGATTCTGAAAGTTTCAAGTGGATCGCATTTGCAGAAGTTTGATTTTTTGTCCTCAATTTTTGTCGAAATTTTCTTGGAAAAAATCAGCGATCAACATGAAACTTTCAGAATCTTATTTTTTCTCCCAAAAAATGAATTCGCAGAAAGTTTGAAGCCAATCGGAGTCGATTTACAGGTACCTCCCATACAAAAGTGTCAATTTTTTGAGGTTTTTCTTAGGGCAAGTACCCCAGGGTCAAATCGAAAATGGCTCATCTTCGAACATAAACTAAGTTTTTCGGATACAAAACTTTTGGGACTTTCAGATTTTGATTATCTCAATTATTTTTTGAGTTATCGTGTTAACAAACACCAACGACGACGACAACGACAACGGTGACAACGACGACGACGGCACAGTGTGCCGGCACACGAACGGAAAAGTGTCTCAAAAAGTGGTTTTCTACGCGTTTCAGTAGTTTTTATGATGATCTAAGCTAATTTTGCGAAAAAAGTTTTCGGGACCAATTCCTATACTTTCCCTTGACACGTTGTGTACGGAAAAGTAATATTAGCACTTTCAATCGATTATTTGAAATATTAGAGAAAACTAAATGAAACTAGGGATATATTTCCAAAAATTAGACAGATTAGTGATATTAGACCAATATTAGAATCCATGTCTACCTAACTATGTCAAATTCTCTGGGATAGATGACCAACTCATAAAAGTATGAAAAACCACAATTTTGGTGTCGAACGAAAAACTTGAAAAAAATAATGAACGGATCCAAAAACACATGCTCACATAAACGCACTGACATTTTTGAGTGTTTAGTATTTTTCTGCAAATCTACGTTACATTACCTTTCGATTGGTATGCTTTTAATCGTGTACAAAAATGTGCTACGCACAATAATATATAGATAAAGTGGTAAATGTAGCTTCCTCGAAGACTCTAAGAAGTCCCGGAGATTCATGTAAGTATCGCAAATATTCGATTTAAAAATCGACTTAACTGAAAATGCATGAAATCATGACACGTACAGCAAAACAAAATTGCTTACGACTGAATTCGAAAACAAACTATTTGAAAAGATGTTTTTAATTCGATCTTCTTGCGTCAATTCTCGCGTTTTGTTATTTTTCCAATTATTGGTGGTTGGAATACACAGGTACAGGTGTTTTGATATTTAAATGAACCAAACATGTGTTTTAAGATTGCTGAGCATCTCAGCATTTCGTAAGGCACGGATATATCCGAGCATATCGACGACGCATACAGTGGCGTGCGTTGCTACGCGCAGCCGCAACGACTCGACGGGAATGTGTATGTTGTTGCTGCGTGCAGCCACATCAACTGAACACACTTCGGTCGAGTCGTTGCGGCTGCACGTAGCAACACACGCCACTGTATTATACAGTATGCGTCGTCGATATGCTCGGATATATCCGTGTCTTACGAAATGCTGAGATGCTCAGCAATCTTAAAACACATGTTTGAAATGAACTCATTATTCGCCTGGAATCTTTCATAACTAGGTACCACAAGCTCCAATGAGAAACAAATTGTCTAAAAATAATTTGTTTTTGAAATCAGCCAGAAAAATACGTTTGCAATATGAACTATGAAATTTGTCATAAAATTTAAAAGGCCGCTTTAGTAGCGTTCATATGCCGCTTGAATCGCTACCATCGCCGCAAACAAATCCGTTATGAATCTGACTTTTTTTAAATAAAAAAACATCTTCGAATAAAAAAGCCCTATTTGAAGTTAGAAACTTCAAAACTAACAGCGACATCTAACGAAAATCCGTTACAACACCCATTCGTCATATTGGCAAGTGACAAGTGTGTTGTTGTTTCAAATTTCAAGTGGGAATCGTTTGCAGTGAAATAATTGTAGTTTTCCTAAGTTTTATTGATCCAAATAAAATTTTTTTTATAAACTGTATGTTGAGAAATTGAATTTACAACTCTTTTCTACATTTTGAAAAAATTCAGATTCATAACGGTTTTGTTTGAAGCGCTGAAAGCACTGAGAACTTTTTTTGGTTCAATATCAACCGACTAAAACGATACCTAGCGGATATGCTAGCCCTTTAATTTTTATGATAAAATTTGCAATGGTCTTTGTGCGTCAATACGAGTTCATTTACATATCCAAACATTTGCACCTGTCAAAATAACGAAACGCGGAAATTGACACAAGAAGCTCGAATATTTTAATATTTTTTCAAATAATTTGTTTTCGATTTCAGTCGTAAGGAATTTTGTTTTGCTGTACGTGTCATAATGATGACAAGTTTACAAGATCTAATTTTTGACTATAAATGAGGCACCAAAATCGTGGAAATTTAGTTATTGTTCAAGTGATTTGACTACAAACATGTCTAAGCAATTGATGGGTGAGTCTCTTCTTAGCTCTTTTTTCCTTTATTTTTTTCTAATTTTCATTTCGGTCAATACTTAAGATTTCAGTCACTCATTGTGTTTTAATCAATATTTTCTCTCCGTTTAGTTTGTTTGGTTCTGGTTGCGGTTTTGGGAGACCAATTCATGGTAACTTACAAATTTTTCTATATATTTTTTGTATTGTGTCGATCGATGACATGAAGAGTATTTTTTCATTTTCGATATAAATTGACTTTTCGAAAACGAATGAAAACCAATAAATATACCACGCGATTAATTACCCCAAATTTAAAGCAATGTCAATCCACCATATTATATTGGCAAATGTTTTTTTTTGTTTCAAAAATCCATTAATTTTACATTTCAATTCATTCAATTTGGTTATTCCAAACTAAGTACCATTTATGCGTTCCTATTTTTCAACTTGAAGCAAATTGAATGTGGTGGTGGATGTGGGTTGGTTGACATAGTAAAGGGAGCCATGACACAAGGTAAGATTGAAGCTAAATTTCTTTTCAATGTTTCATTCTCACTATTCGACATACAAAGCACCGTTTGATGCGTTTTCCATCAATCTAACAAAGAATCCAGGTCAAAATAACCAAAACTCAATTGATTCAAACCATTCATGACGAATTTGTTGCATTTTAGAAAATACAAAATGTAAAGTTTCATTTAACATTCGTTTGACGTATAATTAGTTTAAGAAAAAAACAACGCGTTGAATCATCCATTCCAATCGTCATTGTCTCTATTAATAGTAATTATCAGTTCGAAATTAGCATTTGTCTCGGACGGTATTGTTGTTTTTTCCGAATACTACACCAATACGGAATCGTTTTTTTAGTGTAACTTGAAATATTCGCTTCAATAAAAGAAAAATGAAAATTTTCTGGCTGAATTCGGAATTTATATTTTGAAAAATAGGCTCATTTATGGGTTATTTTATGGGTTCTCGACATAAGTTACCTTATTTTTTCGGTGGAATTGAAGAAGTCCTCCAAATAGCTGAACACTCATTTCGCTGTCTTTCTACACAAGAGCGTGAAAAGTTCATCTCGCGGATATAAGACATTTTCCTTTGATTCACTTCACTGATTTTTTTTTTAAATTTTTTTTCATTTAAGCAAACAAAAAAGACGGAGGCGGCCGAACAGCTCTACATGTCGCTGCTGAGAATGGTAGCTCTGGAAAACTATGCTCACCAAATGGGAAATTGATTGAATCTATTTCATTGATCTGTTTCAGGTAACTTGAAGGAGGTCGAAAAGCTCCTCACGAAAGGAGCCAAAGTTGATTCGATAGACAGAGAACAGCGTGAACCTCTTCATTATGCTGCTATGAATGGTAATTTTGAATATTTTCATGAATAAGAAATAAGTTTGATCTCATTCATTGACTGGTGTAAATTTTCAGGACACAAGGATGTCGCTGAAAGGCTTATCACGAAAGGAGCCAAAGTTGATGTTTATGACTATTATAATTGGACACCTCTTCATTATGCTGCTATGCATGGTAATTTTGAATATTCATTTTTGGTAAATAAAGAGAATGGTTTGATTTTTTTCATTGATCTGTGTTATTTTTCAGGACACAAGGATTTCGCTGAAATGCTCATCACGAAAGGAGCCAAAGTTGATTTAGGAGACGGCGATGTTCGGACCCCTCTTCATCAAGCTGTTATGAATGGTAATTTTGAATATTCATTTTCGGTAAATAAGAGAATGGCTTGATTTTTTTCATCGATCTGTGCTATTTTTCAGGACACAAGGATGTCGCTGAAATGCTCATCATGAAAGGAGCCAAAGTTGATGTTAAAGACTATTATAATCGGACACCTCTTCATCATGCTGTTATGAATAGTAATTTTGAATATTCATTTTCGGTAAATAAGAGAATGGCTTGATTTTTTTCATCGATCTGTACTATTTTTCAGGGCACAAGGATGTCGCTGAAATGCTCATCATGAAAGGAGCCAAAGTTGATGTTAAAGACTATTATAATCGGACACCTCTTCATTATGCTGCTTGGTATGGTAATTTTGAATGAATATTTATTTCCACAAAATGAGTAAGTCTTTCTCATTGGTCGATATTATTCTCCAGGCAACTTACAGATCGTTGAAATCCTTGTCGCCAATCGAGCCAGTCTTACTGATACAGATTATCTACATGAGACACCTTATCAGACTGCTTTGAATAGTAAATTTGAACATTTTTGTTTAGAAAAAAACGTAATTCAAACTATATTATTTTTCAGATAACAAAAAGGCGGTGGCTGACTATCTTAAGGAGGCTGAAGAAAAAAGACGCCAAAATTAAAATCAATTGAAAAATCAAATTGTTTCCTTTGAGTTCCGTATTCGATTGTCATGTAGAATATTAACCCGCAAACGGGCAAGCTAAATCACTTAAGACCGAAATGGACCCATAGTTTTATGGCTGTAAAATTGAAAAAAAAAACGCAATATATTTTCAAAAGTGAGACTGTGCTGGAAGCTAGAAAGATGCATCTCTCAAACCGTTTGAGTCAAACGTGCCATATGCAGACAAAATTGAATGAAATGTACTACTTTTTATGATACATTCCTTTTTACACCGAAAACATTATCAATTCTGGTGGAGAAATGACTATTTTTTGCGTTTTTTGACATTTGACAAAAATTCAAATGAATACATGTCTCTGTTACTTTTCTAAGGTTCATCCAATTTTATTGGTATATTGCGCATTGAAATGGTTTTCGGAATAATCCTACTTTGGATGATATATTATGTATTCCCAATTTTACAACCATAAAGCCATGGGCCCATTTTGGTCCAATTTGCCCGCTTGTGTCCGAAAAATATATTTAGCTCCACGGAGCGTCATCAAATGATCGATCATCGATGTTCAATTTTTTTTGGCTGTAATACGTGGAAAGGATCAAAGAGAACAATGCAGCACCTTTTCCGCACAAGAATATAGTTTTTATATATTTATTTATTGAAAAACCATCTTTTCGGACCACAACGGAGCCACTTGCCCGGTTGAGAGTTAATTTTAATATATTTTTATCAAAATTTAACCATATCAATGTTGCTGCTTGGTTCGACTATATCGGTTATGATATGAAAAGTTGATAAACCATATACGAATGCTAAGCAAAAAGCTGTAAACTTCCGAATACACTCATAATTTCAAGTAAAACCCCAACTATTTTATTTCAAAACCTTAAGTGTTCAGAGACATATGTATCCACCCGACCATCGCTAGTATAGTGGATAATATTAAGCGCACCCATTCAATTGTCATTGTTTTCAAATTCCACGCGAACAAATTACATCAATTCTTAATGGGATTGGATGCGTTTAGTATTATGGTATCTGACACTGGGTTGCTGTGCCCATTGACACAATACTAGCGATCGTTGTATGTACCTTTCGGTGCAAACGTACATTGGCTTGATTCAGAAACAAATGGTTTCTCATTGGAAATCCAAATTGGAATTAGAAAGAATCCAAATAATAAAATCCAGCATTAATTGCATGAATTGCATTTTAGTCGAATAAAAGTAGTAAAAAAAATTAATTAAAATGTAAAAGAAATTTTCTTAATAAATATGTTCAACGGATAAAAAAAAGAAAGGTGTTTGTTTGTCGATTTATCGACAACTGGGCGAAACTAGTCGCTTTTATTTTAACTCAATTTTAGAAACAAATTCATAGAATTTACCTATAACGCATTTTTCCGAAAAAATCAAAGAAAAACCAAAAAAATCGATAAAATTATTTCAGGCACTTGCTAGATTACACCCTGATAGGGTGCAATGTAGCAAATTTTTGCTACGTTGCACCTTGAAAGTCTTGCTACATTGCACCTTAACACCCTGATAAGGTGTAATCTAGCAATTTTTTGCTACATTGCACCCTAAAAGTCTTCAAGGTGTTATCTAGTCAAAATTTGCTACATTGCACCTTACCATAGATTTACTTTGGAATTTAAAAGAAAATCTCAACTTTTTAACGTCTCAGCTCCTTCTGAAGTCTTAATTGTCTCAAATTACCACTGAATAATGAACTAAATAAAACCAAAATCGCACCGTTTTGAATCAATGATTCATTTATTGAATTACTGCTCATCTTCAGTCCTCAATATTTTCCATCAATTCTGAATCGATATATTTGTTTTGTATGATGAATATAAATTTCTTAAACCCAAAAGCAAGAAAAAAAACTTCAAATGCTATTTTTGGTAGTTTGCTCTTAAGCATACATTGTAAATAATGCATATAAAGTAGATTACGGAAAATTTATCATTTAGGAAATACATGCTTTAGGTTTTGTCATATTTTTAGCTTTTTGGCTGGTAATTCAATCTGCTCTAGCTCCTCAATCTCAGCTCGTTTCAAAACGACTCGGCCGGAACCTTCCAATCTTTCGGGCTCAATAGAGAGGGTCTTTCGACGGCTTTGGATTTTTCCACCTAAAATCCATTTTATATTGTTGAAAAAAATTGAAATTTAAATCAAGAAAAAATTCAATGTACCTTTTGTATTGGTATCAGCATTTGCTTCTACTGTTGCCAATGTATTCAAGCGTCGGGATCATCGCGCAGGCATGACTGAAATCAAATGTTTTGGTGATTGAACAAATTTTCACTTTCTCATTGAAAAAAAATGGAGAGAATTCAAAACAAAACAATTTTGTATTATACCGTTTGTTTTGGCGTCAGCATTTCTTTCTGTTATCGTTTTCAATCGTTCAGACCGTCTTGCAGGCATTACTGAAATGTTTTGATGATTGTAAAAATTTCACTCTTAACAACAACAACATACAGAGCAATAAATTCTAATACATAAGCATTAACATCATAAAATAGCCTCAAACATTTTTTCATGCTATTTCCTACCTTTTCGCACATTTTTGTCAAAGATTGTGCTGGTCGTTTCATCTCCTGTTACTTTTTCAGTCGTTGTTGAATCCAACTGTTCAGGTCGACATGCAAGTACTGGAACTAAACGGTTATTAGAACTCGTTTTTAAATAAATTTATTGATTTTTATGTCAATAAACAAATATAATCATTTGATCATTACCTTCCGGGGCTGAAGCAGAACGGTCGATTTGATTTGCGCTCGCATTCGCATTTGTAGTTGTGCCATCGTCTGCATCGTCTTGTGTCATCACTGCTAAAATGAAACAGTTGTGAAAGGTCAGTTAAAAAACGCTATCAAATAGCAATTTATACGAAAACATAAACAATTGTGAACTACCTTCCAATGAACGGTCTGAATTCGAGGGATCACTTTCGTTTGCATTCGCATTCGTTATGTCATCGTCTGCAGAAATAAAGAAAAAACCAATTAATAAGAGAAATCAAAGGGCTCATTTCATGCTTTACTTTGATGCACGTTTAGTTGTGCTGTGCTAGCATTTTCTGTCGGTGCTGTGTTCATAATTTGCGAACGACGTTGAATCACAGCTAAAATGAAACAATTGTGGAAGGTCAGTTTAATAGAGATATCAAATAACAGTTTACATTAAAGCATGAATGACTTCAGACTACCTTCCAACGAACGATCCGAACTCGAAGGAACACTATCGTTTGAATTCGCATTTGTATTTGTGCCAATATCTGTGGAAACGAACAAAAATACTGAGCAACTTTTTTAAAGAAAAAGAGAGCCGATTGTTTTACCTTGGCGATGTTCTGTTGCGAGAACAATGTTCGGTCGTTGGTTATTTTCGACAGCACGTCGAATAACCTTCAGCAGTTCAAGACACTCATCGAACTCTTCTTGCGATTTTTCAGCCAACACTTCGCAAATTTTCTTCGTCTCAATCGAAGCCTTGTTGAATTTTTCGTTCGGTGTCAAATTTCGCTTGCGTTTTGCTGTATCCTCAGTCACCACGTCCGCTTTCGTTGACTTTGAAGTTGCATAAGCAAATTCGCTCAAGAATTGAGCTCGTTCACGCAACCAATGCTGACTACACAATGATGGTTTGTAAGGCGATTCTCCGTAGTGATTCAAAAATGCAATGATGTGTGCACATGGAAGATTCATTGTTCGGAAAAATTTGCACGAACATTCATCTTCCGAAACGGTAATGTCCACTCCGTCTTGAATACAGTCGGCATCGAGTAGACCTATTCGACTGAACTGCACTTGAGTTGACTTCATCGATTGCAGTTTATATTTGTCGAATGCGTATTTTGTCAGCAGTTTAGCGTATTTGTTGTCATAATCTGTATTGATCTTGGTTGCGAGTGATTTTCGCAAAATGCTCTCTGCTGCTTTGTGGTCGCGCTCAATATTGAATGCAGCAATGCAAGTAATCAAGTCATCAAAAAACGATGCTAACGAGCTGTATTTGGCGACAATCGTTTTAATCTTCTGGTTCACCGACTCAAGACGATTGTTTGAACGATTCTCGTAGTTTGCGTGTTGATTGACATAGTGCGCCACCCATTTTTCCTGAATTCCGTGCCAATATGTGTTGAAGTACTCCATCAAAAGCGGACAATTCATGTTTGTCAATTGTTGATAGCACCGATCATACTGTGCTTGGCTCTCAGCGTAAACCATTTTCCGTAGAATATTCACCGCCTCTTTCACTTGATCTGGAGTCATTTTTCGCATTCGTGTCGTCACTTCTCTGTTGAATATTTGCAGCACATGGAAAACACACAACTGATGTTTGGCATTTGGAAATGACGTTTTGAATGCACTTGCGTTCGCCGATGCTTTGTCACTCATGATGATTTTGATGTCAGTGTGTTTTGGGTTTTCTTTTTTAAATTCATCAAAAAGATTGCGAAAAGTTTGGTCGTTTTCCGAACGGACCACACACAAACCAGCGATCTGTGATTCACCATTGCCGTCGATTACCAAAAGAATGACTAATGGCATGCGACGGTCATTGAGTTTGTACGTGCCATCAAACATTACCACCTCTGGATATGTGTCGAAGAACTTCTTCATTCTGGCGTCTTGGAAAAAAACGCAATCCAATTCATTTCCATCCTTGATTACTTTCACCGTTGCATTTTCCACTTGAATCATAGCATCAACAAGACGAACCAAATCATTTGAGTGAACTGGGACTTTTTTCACACTATACTTGAAATTGTGAATATCTTTCGCGGTAATTACACCAATTTCTGCGGTAGAATCGTTGACTTGCTTTTGTACGGCACGGGTATTTGCTTTTACAGCTAGCACTTTTTCCAGGTGATCCTTATTTGCTTCGACCGCTGCTTTTCTTTGTTTCGTCATGTGACGAAAGAGATCGATACTTCTTTCGTGATTGTGCACTTGACCCATCGATTTGATTTCCAGCATGATTTCACCATCTCGATCGATTTGAGTTGCGTAGACAAACGATTCACATTTTTGTTTGTAGGTGCTCGTTTGCCGTTGATCTGTTGTTTTCACATGTTCACCGTGAAATTTACACTTGAAACGAATCGATTTGTATTTCAACTCCAAATTTTCTGGATCCAATTCACTTTTCACAATCGGATAATTTGCAAATTGCTGTTTTTCGTAATCATCTAATGCTCTCTTCAGAGCATCATATGATGCAAAACGCTCACCAATTCGAATTGCCATTTTGCCGGAGATCGAACCATTTTGCTCCAGATCGAAAATCGAACTGACTTGATTTTCGTCGTAAAAATGAAAAAAAATCTCTCCAACGAAAGACACCAAAACGTTTGGTAGGCATTTCGTTCTGCAATAATTGCTGAACTCAAATTTTGCATTTGATGTTTTTTTTCGATTGTTATTGTTTTTGTTAAATTTCCGTTTTCATCCTTCTCAACAAACAATATCATCAGTGTTTCAATAAATGAATCATTGATTCAAAACGGTGCTATTTTGGTTTTATTTAGTTCATTATTCAGTAGTAATTTGAGACAATTAAGACTTCAGAAGGAGCTGAGACGTTAAAAAGTTGAGATTTTCTTTTAAATTCCAAAGTAAATCTATGGTAAGGTGCAATGTAGCAAATTTTGACTAGATAACACCTTGAAGACTTTTAGGGTGCAATGTAGCAAAAAATTGCTAGATTACACCCTATCAGGGTGTAATCTAGCAAGTGCCATTATTTCAACTTTTGGGTCAAGTCTTCATTATTCGTCATAATTTATTTCATCCACACGAATTTTCACCAAAAAATGCGAAAAAAACGAAAAAAAAAATTCTAGCCGGCTATAAATTTTAAAATGAAAATTGTTATTACAGCGACAAATGCCTGTGGATTTGGGTTCAGTGGCTTGCAATAGCCTAGAAATAAATAACCTGATATAACAAACCCACCTACATACGGCGAAAGACGGATTTGAATTTTTCTAGCCGGCTATAAATTTTATAGCCAAGCATTTGGACTCAGCCTCACTTCACTGATTTATTTTTTTTTTAATTTTAAGCAAACAAAAAAGACGAAAGCGGCCGACGGGGTTTAATTTTTCCCATCCGCTCGATAGAGCCTCCATCGATTGAATCGAAAGAGTTTTTCAAAAGAGACTCTTTCAAAAGAATCTTTGCAACAATTTTCGATATTCTGCTATTAGGGGTCAGCATTGGGCCCTTCCGACGAAGGCGCGTCCATTTTGACGGTGGCCCGAGCAACTATTTTGACATATTTTGATTGGATGGAGACGCCCTACTGTCATTCACGCGACTGTCTGTGATATTTGAAGCTAGGGGAATATCACGCTTAAATTATTTCAAATATTTCAAGAAAATTCAATTTATCTCTAAGAATCTGTCGGATGAAATATGGTGGATATTTGTGAATACGGCGGACAATTGTGGATTTTTGTGATTATGAATGATATTTAAATGTATTTTTTCGGATTTAATGCAAAAAATCTCAAATATCTCCAAAATCCACAAAAATCTGATTTATTTATTCGAAATATTCGAAAATATGTCATACAATTGATGTTTATTTCAAATATCTCAAATATTTCACAAGATTCAGGAGCGTGATATTCCCCTAGATTTGAAGTGTATGTTGGAAAGGTGTTTGTGATGATGTTTCTGTAGTAAAATAATATAAAAGAGAAATTAATCAAGAACTAAAAAAGTAATAATTTCGTCAAATCCTTAATTATTTTGTGATGAACGTGTTGTAGAAAATGAGTAAAAATGCTAAATATTCAGAAATGTAGAATACATAACCTAACAAATTCGATCTAACTTGGTAATGGTGTTGAAATGAGCAAAATGTTTCATAGAAATGGGTAAAAATTAAATAATTTGAAAAATTATTGACAATTATTGACGATTCATTGTTGTTCTTTACTCATTATGTTCAATTCAATGAAAAAAGTAGAGTAGAGCATTCGGTTTTACATTGATATGTCAGAGCGTTCAATAGACCGCTGTGCAGCGACCACAATATAAAATGGAGTTTTCATCTAAATTGCTTATGACTGTAATCAATATTGAAGTGCAACAATTGGTGAGTTCTTCCAGGAGCGGTCATCAAAAAAATATTGTCATTAAATCAATTTACATCTTGCACCTTCTAGATACACTAAAAGAACACACCGTGTGATTTGAAAAAATGTCATCGGATTTTTCTATGTTAAAGGCATTGATGTGATCCAGAAATATTGAGTTATACTCTTGATGCCTATGTTTCCAGTAATAAATGACGTATTCCCGAGTTTCCATGGCAAAAAACAAAATACCAAAATTTTGATTGACACAATGAGACAAATTGAATTGATAGACTTTTGATTGAAAACAAACTTTAATAGTGTCCATTTTTGCTTTATTCAAACTTGCTTCGTCTCACTTCACGCATAGACGGGTCATCGATTTCTATTGATAGTAAACGACAATAAAACGAATAGTATTCATGAAGGACCTTCGTTGAAGTTATTATTTCTATACGTGTGACAAAACCGAGTCTACGTTTATTTCTTTTTTCCCGTTACATGAACTACTGCTAATCAAAGCGTAGGGAGGGAATGTTCATTGAGTAAATCGCATTTCTTGTCTCCTCCTTCTTCTCATCAATTTTGGTGAAAAATTTATTGATTATTTTTCAATTTAGAGAAAAAAGGTTTATGAATGCCCCAAAGAACAACGTTCATTCTGAACTTTGATTAAAATTCAGCTCAATGAGTGAAATATCTGTGATTTTGTATGAAGCGTTTACTTCCGTTTATTTTCGATAGATGGCGTTTGTGAAACCACATGTTCGTCTCAAGTTTGAGTGAATAATTTGTTTTCGAAATTGAGTGAACAAATGAAAACCAACGAAGAGCTAGGGAGTCTTAACTGGAAAAAATGCAATTCATGCGGAGAATATGCGCTTCAACAGATTTTATCTGCCAGTTGTAACTACTTACTCTTGCCGGGTGCATTAGAAGAATACTACAACAGTCGACAAGAACACCCATTTTCTTCAAAAATGAACGCTAAGGTGATTTTTCAAAGTATAAATTTATCGTTTTTTTAAAGATAAACGATACGATGGGATTTTAAGTATGATTCATTTTATTCAACATTCGGACGACAAACTTGTAATAATGTAAATACAATGACTAGGTAATATTAGTGCCTTTTTAAATTCCCACATCTTTAATTTCGATATTTCCATCATTTGAATTGGGTAAACGAATGCTAACAATGGGTAATTTTTCACCCGTTAGTGCATGGTATTTATCTCGGTACAACTCTGTTATAGACACTACCCGTTCCGTGGATTCTATCAAATAGAAAAATGCTTGTATTGGCAATTTGTTGGGTTCATTTTCATTCCAGGCTTCCATCCGCACTTCGTTGTTCTTCAACGCATAATCTTTCGAATTATTTCGAAGGAATGCATTTGCCTCACCGACTATCGCAAAGTTACTGGTTGCCGTCTTATTTGTCATATCAAAAGCACACTCTCGTTTAGTAAATTCTCCATTTCCACTCAACATTACTTCGTAATAGTGTTCGATCCATTTGTGAATCGTTGTAACATTTTGTTCATGACAATATTTACTTGATACAGTGTTAACCCCAAGTAATTGAACACATCCATGATGTCCGCTACGGCCATCAGTAAACGCGTCAAGTGGAAATGCGCAATACATCGCCAATTGGCTCTTCTCTTTTGGTGTTTCTAAATGCGGATATAGAATAAATCCAGCGGAATAACCATCCGGAAATCGTGAAAAAAATTGATCTCGTCGTAGAAATGCGAAAGATTGTGCATGTTTCGCTTTATCAGCTGGTTTTAAACTCCAAGCAAATTCAAGCCCGCTATTTTCTCGGATGCCTCGAATCAATAGTCCAGAACATTGATACGCTGGTAGCTCATTTTTGTTTGGATCAAAACAACTTTTCGCTACATTATTGTAGCGTTGCAATAATTTTTCTGCCATTTCACCACTTATTGAATCTGCCAGAAATGAGATAATCAATAAAATATAGATTTTATACAACCGCATCGTTTAAAATCGTTAGGTCAACTCTGTAGGCTTTATTCTGAAAGAAAACTCTAGTTGACTGTAATTTCGTCTCTTTTTTTCAACGCTTGTGTGAAAACACTCTAAATAAAACGAATTGTTCCACTTAAACGATCCCAGAAATTTTATAACCAAAGCGACTTTAGTGAATGAAAGTTGATATAACAATGAACTCAATTATTCGCTTGCTTTATTTATCTGCTATAGATAATTATCTATTATTATTATAACTGCACAGTACGCACACACTCATGATTGAATCGGAAGGAATTACACTCAAATAAGGAGTGACTAAAATCAGCGAAGTAGATAAGACCATAGGGGTATTGCATATATAAGTATTTCATCAAGTTTATCAAGCTCTTTTCAAGTTTATGCATAGTGTCGAACTTTTGTTCAAGCTCTACCATCTAAATGTACAGTAAAATAATTTACAGGCACGACGTAAGATGGCGTTTTTTCTGGTAAAAAAAGTTGCAATATCCCTTTGGATAAGACTGGCTTCTTGAGCGTCGATCAAGCAAGATCTTTTGATTCCGCGAACCGGATGATTAAAAGATTGCACCTGTATAGCAACTGCTTCAGACTCTGTATCAAGAGTAGCGATAGCATTGGCTGACTTCAGTAAGACTCATGCTGATTTTGTGCGATTTTGTTTTATTGCCAAATCAAGATCTTGAGATTTGATTCTTTTTTACTTGCGACTCTTTATTAAAGAGTCTTTGAATTATATGTGACAATGATTAATTGAACAGTTTCACAATAATTATTCAATAATTCAAAGAATGGATCTGATTGACCTATGACACAACTCAGTCGGTGCAAATGGCCAAAAAGTTAAAATATTACAGAATTCCAGTACGGATGATAACGAGCACTTGGTGATCATGTGAGGCCATCAGGCGTTGACTATCGCTTTGCCCTCTTTATACCTTCTTTTGTCAAATGCACATGATCAGTAATCGGTGCCGGATCTGGGCAGGTGCAAGCCGCACATTTGCACAAGGCTGAATCGGCAAATTCAATACATTGGGGCAGAATAAAATGCGCCAATGTATTGGCAGAAAAAGAAAGTTTTGCAAAAGGCGGCACTACTTTCAAACAATTTCCAGACCCAGGCATTGTTAATAATCATTG